CAAAACCCCCCCCCCCCCCAAATTATCTCCCCTGTGAGGAGTTCTGAGATCCCAGACAAGTGAGTGAAGGTATTTGTCCCTTGGGCCATGGCCAGGTTTTTCCCTCCGGGCCTGTAACATTTTCAGAGAGCTCCTGCCTCCTGTTTGCAGATTTCCACTCTAGAAAGGGAGTGTTAACAGATGTTAACAAGCAAAATGCTGTGGGCTATAATGTGAAAGGGAAACATAAAATTTTACTATGTGTTCGCTACCGAAGCAATTGTTTTCAAAGAATATGTTATGAAATTCTCTGCCTCTTTCTGGATTGTGGTGCTGTAAGATGCTGAGGGCCAACCATTCCTATTGAAATCCCTCAGTCTGCAGTGATATGTGCTTTCTGATGTACAGCAATAGTTTGACCTTTGTCTTACACTTAACCTGAGCCATATTTACTCTGTCTTAATTCATGGAAAAAACTTGATTTGTTTGTCACATTAAGGAGACATGTAAATTTGGTTTCTTTTTGTGGTATTCTGCTATAGCTCTTGGACTTTGTTACACAGTGGTTTTCCTTTACCAGTGGCATCGTGATGTGTGTGGGCTTTTCTTAGCTCTGCAAGAACATAAAATAAAACAACAAACCAAAAGGCTCAGCTAATTGCACGGAGGGTTTTTCTAAGAAACTTGCTTTAGAGCTCGTATTAAACATGTGGAAGTTGAGTGTTAGGAAGAAAGAATTTGGGAAAGGTTGGAGTGAAAATATTGTGGAGCACACTTGCTTGTTCAACCCCCGCGGTGAAGTTGTGAAGTTCTTTGCATTGCTGCCCAAGTTCTTTGGCATTTGGTGGAGCAAACTGAGTACTGCCAGCTCTGTCTTAGGACACTCATGTTCCTGTTCCTCTTTTGGAGTCTTCCTCAGGGGTTATGGATAGTTGTTTTAAAACGTTCAGGCACAAGTTGCTGGATTGCCCTGCAGGATCTGCTCCTTCTATTTCAGGCAAATACTCCTTTACCAGCATCTCTTTCAGGTGCAGCCCACTTTCTGGGCTTTTCCTGATGGGATCATTTGCCAGAAAATAAGAGGTCTTTTTTTGATTAGTCTTGACCTTTGTTGAGTTAGTCTGTGTTTGCATTTAAAAAAGACCCTGCATGAGAGGAGCCTTGGACTTGTAGGTAGGTAGCACAGTGCTCTGGCAAAGAATCATGCACTTTGATGCCACAGAGCCTGACTGTTGTTTGCAGGTGTGCCAGACAAAAATAAGAGACTGTCACCCAGCAAAATGTAGTAACTAGGACAAGCTCAGAACGGTGAAACGAACTCAGCTATAGTTAATTTTAAATAGGGTTGTCCAATTAGCTAATTTTGAAGCTGAAATTGAAATGTCATAAACCAAATGTGGGTTGAGCTAAACCTGCACTCAGCCTTTTTTAACCTTTTCTAAATTGAAAAAGAGCCTTTAGCTTGCTTTCTTTTTTTGATTAAAGTTATGCACCATACTTGAATAAACAGTGCAAATTGTTTCAGTTCTGAGACTGTATTGTGTTTAATAAATCTTTTTCCAAATAAGCTATTTACTGGAAAAAAATTGCACAGCTCCTCTCATACAAAACACTCAGGGTCTTTTGTACCATTCCCACCCCCTCGCCCTGAGGTACATTTTTCCTCCGGAGTGGTAGCACATCCCAGCACGTGATGCAGCTGCCAAGTTGCCAGTAGACACTCCTTGCATCCCAGAACCGGGTGCTCCTGAACATCTTGCTTCCAGCAGATAATCACAGAACAGCAGTAACTTCATTGTGTCCTGTCTGAATGTGGTGTCCATCGTGTAGATAAACACAGAGGCTGGATCCTGACCAGAACAGCTGGATTATAAATGATCTCCCTTGTCCTATAAAATAAGCTGAGTTTTTAATCTGTAGATGGTCTCCTTGTCTCTGCTAGATCAGGATAAATATAAGAATATGATTTAACACACGTTTTACCAGTGATAGCATAGGCTGTGTGACATTATACCAAATCCTACTATTTATGCCTGCCCTCATGTGCATACTCTACCCTTTATTTATAGACACCGCCTGGAAGAAGGGCAAGCCAGCAGCTGGACACGCAGACTCAAAGTTTTTCTTTGCTGCACACGGACAAAAGACTCTCAGTCGGTAGGTACCAGATATCCCCTGGCAGAGAGCGAGCGCTGGGTAGGGCTGATGATCCGCGGGACTCAGCAGAGCGTGGCAGTGCGAGGTTCCTGCTGTCAGCCCTGGGCAACGTCTGTCTCACTTCCCCGTGAGTGCTTGGTGAGATCTGGAGGTGCAAGGAGCCCAGTGAGCCTCGACAGTAGTGCATGCAAGGACTGGAAATACCTTCTAAGAAGCAACTTGCTGAGTTATCCTCAGAATGACCAGGCTTGAAATTTTGCTGCATGCAGGTGGTTCTTCCTTTAGCCCAAGTAGCCTGAATGAGCCCTTGTGTTTCTGCAGGAGGGTGCCTGGGTATTCTGTGCAGAAACAGGAGCTGGTGTTTCTCCCTATGTGCAGGTGTGACATCGCTGGGTAGGGCAGTTGTCAGAATTTCTAGTCTTAACCCTCTGGTTTTGAGTGTTGCAGCACTCTCTGAAGGTAAGGTTAGTAGCACTGAAAAGCAACATTGTTAAACTCTTCCTGAAGTTGTTCTTTACCTCGCTGTTACAGCGAACTGGGTTAAGTGAAGATGTCAGTGGAAGAAATACGCATTTTCACTATATTTAGGTTCAACATTTGATGGTGCTTCAGTTTCCCTTTACTATCCATTTTGCTTAGGCAATTTCTGTCTCACACTTAAGGAGAGAGACTTCTTTGAAAATGGGAAAATGTAAACCTGTCAGAATCAGAAAAAGGATACTTCTGGATTACTAACAGTCAAAAACTATGACTTAACTCAGAGATTCACGTGAAGATCATTGGTTTGAAGTTTTCACGTGCTACAGTTGAGCTTTTCCCTTGCTGTTATCAGCAGGTAAGGGTGATGGGCTTGATAATGCTTCCCCAGCCTGTTAGCAGCTTGTTCTTACTGGAAGCAGTAGGAGCAGTTTTGTGCTGTAGGTGCCATTCAGCAGGACTCTTGAGGACCTGTTGGAGAGCTGAGTACTAAGGTGGAAAATTTTGCTGATGACTTTTAGTTCTTTTAAGTCGGTCAGAATTATGAGTATTTAGGAACTCTTGAAGGACCAAGCAGAACCAGGGAATTGTTATCAAAGAGAGAAGAAAGTCATAAAGGAAGACGAGGTGATGCATGTGCATCTGGAGAAACAATTTAAATTACTTGCATACGCTGGGCTCTGAATTAGTTACAACCTCTCAGGAAAAGAGCTAAGGAGTTATCAAGGACACTTCAGCAAGGACGTCAGTGTGCAGCAGTGGCCAAAAAATCAGAAAAGCGTTCAGCTTCAGTAGAAGGGCATAGAAAATGACAGGGAAATCACCAAGGGACTGACCACATCAGTGATGTCCTCACTAAATATAGCCTGGTGTTTGGTCTCCTAAAAGTTGCAGCAGAAAAAGGAGCATATTGGAGGGGGCTTGAACTTGTACAGAAAAGAAATGAGACTCTGATTTTTAACCTCAAAAGAAAAAGTAATAAGATGAAGAGCTGTGTGAAAATAAGTCAGGTGAAGGCTACCGGAACATTTGTTCATCACAGATGGCAACCAGTATGAATTAGATTAAAAGGGGTTGTTAAGTGCTGTGTAGTCATCTGTAGGGCGCAGTTTCCGAAGTGTGGAGGGCTGCAGGAATTGTCGTAGCCCTTTAGCAGAAATCCAGCCACGTGTGCTGGCACGCTGGCCCTCCCAGGGACATGCTCCCACAGTACTGGATGAAGTGCCACCGTGTTCCCAGGGAATGTCCCAGCCCCAACCTTCTGTCCTGCTGAGAAGTCACAGCCCAGGACTGCCAGCTCGCACAGATCCAGAGCTAGAGCTGCTTAGGAAAATCCATCTGGAAAACTGAAACAGAACAAGCTTTGTGTCACGGCGGCTCAAACAGCAGCATTTCCTGGGGGGTTGTTTTCTGTGCCTCCGCTTGCCTGTGCTGCCACAGCAGAGGCACCTTCCCTTCCCCCTGACAGCACAACCAGGTCACCCTGCCCAGGTATCCAGACACCTGTCCTGAGGGTGCAGCAGCCTGGCTGGAGAGCCCTGACAGGCATCTGAATGGCCTGGTTTCTGAAGAACTCTATTTTATTCAGGAATGCAAAATATTTCACTTTGTCAAGCTTTTTTTAACAAACTTTTCATTCTGCAGTGACTGTTTCTACTTCATTTTTTTTTTTTTTAGTTCAGGATAAAAGCAGATACCAGAATCTTCAAATTCCTTGTGCTATTGAATTCCCATTTTACATTCAGCTTGAGTACTTCCCAGGCTCTTTTCTTTGCAGAAACAAGCCCTGACTCTTTGTATCCTGGCATGACAGCGTGCGGAATGAATGTGTATGTAATGGATCAGAAATTAATCCGTTGCTGTCTCTCCCAGTATTCATGGAAAAAATGTTCTAGCAAAGGATCTCTGGGCTGAAAAATAGTTCTGCTGAGGGGACATGGCATCGGGGCAAGAATCCATTCAGATGGGTCTGTAGTGAAGTCTGAAGTGCGAAGTCTCCATTTTTTCCAGGGTTTGTAGCAGAACACTACACATCAATCCTAGAATATAACATCAGCTTCTCCAGCAAAAACTCTTCCTTCAGAATAGATGTGTTGGACTTCCATTATGGCCTTTTACTTTGGTCAGAGTTTTAAGGCGTGTTGCAGTCCCTTTGGGTTAATGGGTGTTCATCATATTTTACTTCAAGGCTGTTTGCGTTTCTCCTGTGCTTATAGGAACTGTGCTAAGATTTATGGGGTCAGTACTTCAAGGATACTGCGGTTGTAGTGTTGGAGAGGTTAATGCCAGTCCATTTGCTCTTCAAAGGCACGGCTGGTATGGAAAGCTGCACAGCTGGCACCTGAAGCCCTGTTCTTAATGGTGATTTAACTTGCTTTTGTAGGCAAGTGAAAAATGACAGAAAGTAATCTTGCACTCCAGGAGCCTGTCAGAGATGAAAGAATGTAGGTCACTTCCTGCAAGACTGCTAGGGAGAGAAGGGATTTACTTTCTGGTCAGTGAAGTAGAGTGATCCTGTCCCAAAACCCAGGTTTTCTTCAAGTGCACAGCTCGGGCTTTCTACAAAAAGGACTGCAGTTGCGTGGCTTTACATGCCGAGTAAAGAATGCGATGAAAATGTAGGCTAAAAAGTTCAGGATGAGGCGATGACAGACCTTGGTAGGAAAGGAGTCAAAATACTGACCGCTGGTGTACTGCAGCACTTGTTCAGTCCCGTGTTTTGTTGATCCACCCGCTGGGTCAGCGTTGTCTTTAAGCTTGCTGGTCTGAGCAATAGCCAGAGCACCATTGTCTCACAGTCCAGCCCATCCCCAACCTCCCAAATTATTCTCACTGAAGATCTTGAGGGTTTTTTTGTAGTACAGAGCAAAAGGGAACATAACGTTTCTCCTCAAAATATGTCACTCTGCTTCATAGCCTTTGCATGACCCTCTCAGGTCACTTCTACTTTTGCCCCTCCTGTGGTGTCTTCCCTTTTTAGGTTTGGTCACCTCCTCTTCTGGGAACTCTGAATTTAATGACTCAGATCTTCTTCCAGATTTTCCTTTTCAGGCCCTCGTTGCTTGGGTATAGTCCAAGATAAACCTGGAAAAGCCTGGTAATTTGGTCAGCTCCTTCATACCAGGAGCTGCCATGTGTAACAGCTGCTTGTTGTCATTAACTCCTTGAAATCATGTAGCAAAGAGCAGCTACAAGACTGTTCAGTGGCGGGATTCACAAGCTGTCACTTTATGATGTGCTTGGGGTGGGGAGGTCTGGGTTACGTACGGGCAAAACGATCCCAAGGCAGAGTTACAGGATTGAAGAGGCTGTTAAATAGGACAAAATCTGTGCGCTTTTTTTTCCCTGAATAGGCTTTGTTCAAATGGAATTGCTTTTTGAGGAGAAAGGATGACTCTGGGGTGACACTGGATTGGGATTTGCTTGGTTCTCATCTTACTTTCTCTGTGTATTTACAATGTAGAGATGAAAATGTTTCCTTTCTCTCTCTTCATGTGTGTTTTGATGTCGAGGTGGTCTGCTTGCCCACACATAAGTACCCAGCATAGTACAAATTCAGTCTCAGCTGAGGCCTCTGAGTGTGACTGTAAAATAAATAAGAGATATATTAATATGATTAGACCAGATATGGTGTTCCCTGAAGGAATCGCGTGGATGTTTTGGAGAGAGCGCTACAGAAATGAGGCCATTGCTGCCGCATTGGTTCTCCTTCTGTGTCCTGTTTTGAGGCTCCCCACACCCAAACTCCTCCTCCTAAACTCTTCTCTCCCTGGATTTTGCAGGACGCCTACTCTGAAATCGCCTACCTTTTTGCTGAGTTTTTCCGAGACCTTGACATCGTCCCATCTGACATCATCGCAGGCCTGGTTCTTCTGCGCCAACGGCAGCGGGCAAAGCGCAACGCTGTGCTGGATGAGGTGGGTGGAGGGGGCCTGTGGCTGCACCCAGAGGTGGTGGGCATCTTGTTTGGCCTCTGACTTACCTGCTGCTCTTGTGACTCGGTGTGGGAGAGCTGCATGACTCTGCCCACCTTGTTTCTGCTGTGTGATGGGCTATTGCCAGTCACTGAGCTGTCAAATAAAAATGCGAATGACTTTAGCAGCTTTTTCTGAGACTCTCAAAGGGCCCAACTGATACTGAATCAAGCTTGTGAAACCTGTCTTCTAGGCAGGTGATAAACACAGTTTTAGCTCTTGACCCCAAAGGGACAGCTGCCTTGAAGAAGGTGGTGGGTACTTGGAAGTGAATGGAAAGATGACTCCTCTGTAGGGATGTGGAGAAGACTCCAGCATCTGGGTAAAGCTGCAGGAGGAACTTCAGGGAAAAATTCCTGAATTCCCAAGCCGTTACTGGTGTTGAAACTTGGGGATTGTCAACCCAGTAGAAGATTATATATAGAAGGAAACCGGTTGGAATACCTGAAAGTATCTTATCCTGGGGTACATAGTGTTTTCTGTTTCTCAGGTGTAGATTTTGGTAGATTTTGGCTTGGTGTCACAGCGAATAATTTTTATGTATGTTTGTGACTTACAGGCAAACAATGACATTTTAGCTTTTCTGTCTGGAATGCCAGTGACCAGAAACACAAAGTATCTGGATCTGAAAAACGCGGTAAGTCACCGGACTGCGATCTTGCTAACTCACCACTCCTTCCCCATGTAGCCTGTTTTCTTTTCTCAATGGATTCTCTTACTCCTTTCTGCCCCTTTCTAGAATAATCAAATAAATTAAAGATTAGTACAACAGAATCTGGTAACAACACTTGCTCTCTGGAGGCTTTTTGCCTTCAGATCACTTGTTAAAGCTTTCTCTGTCTCTCTGTGGGAAGTGGTAGTATTTCCACTCTGATGCGGGCAGTCAGTGGGAGGTTTCTCCAAAGCCAGCGGTGTGAGTTGGGCACTGCATCCAGGAAGGGCCGTGCAGAGCTTCATCTGGAAGCACCAGCAGGCAGGGCTCCACCTTTGGAAGGGCAGGGAGCTGCCTGGAGTGAGATGGAGCCTTCCTCCCCAGGGCTGGTCATCGGCAGTTCTCAGGATGGGAAATGGCTGCGGTCTGTGTGATTTAAGCTTGGCTTTTCTCCTGGCATGCTGCTATTGCAGCCCTTCATTGGGCAAACTTCACTCCCCTCGATTAGATGATATTGCTGCAGGAGGGGCAAGACTGACCCCATCGCAGCATCTCTGATCAAGTGATTCTGTGAATAATCTGCTTATGGCTGTGCTGGACTCCGGTGTGTTTAACACCCTGCTTGTGTTCATCCTGTCTTCCCTTGGAGGAGTGTGTGTGGGGAGGGATGTCAGCAGAGCTTGTAGGAGACAGCACCGAGGTGTGTGGCCCTGGATGGGCTTTATGGTCTTCCCTGGGCATCTTATGGCCTGTGACTCTGGAAGCAGCATATTTAGAGAACTCATCTTCTTGGGATTTAAACTAGTTTCTCTTCTCCTCAGTTAGGGTAGGGTGGGACAAAAACCCACCTTCCTTTGCAGCAGGGTGTTTGATACACAGAGGAGAATTTCTCTAAAGCTAAATTCTCATTTTGTTAAACAGATAGCAGGGCCCTTCCACTCAGGAAAAATAGGTGGAGCTGTCCTGAGCTGTTCTTGGAAGGGGGAAAATCTTGCCCAGCATAACCAGTTTGCTCTCCTGCAGTCACCTGGGAGTGCTGATAGTGGTGCTGGGATAGAAGGCTGGCACTCAGGAAGAAGGGTGCATGTATCTTAACTGATGGAAATGGGGAAACAGTGGAAAAACTTGCTACCTAAAAGTGAATAAGGCCTTTAGTGAGTCTCCTGTCTCTTTCAGCAAGAGATGCAGCGGTACAAAGAGGTGTGTTACTACATGCTGTTTGCCCTGGCTGCCTATGGCTGGCCCATATACCTGATGAGGAAGCCCACATGTGGACTCTGTCGCCTGGCCAGATCCTGCTCGTGAGTGGCCATCCTGTCTATCACTGCCTTCTCTTATTCCCTTTTCCCTTCTGTTTTTCCCAGAATTAGGAATAGCCTTTCTTTCATCAGTTTGCTCTCCATCACCCCTCAATCTTTTCCTCTTCCTTTTCTCTTCTGCTTTTTTCCTCTTTTCCCTTCTCCATGTTTTTTTCTTTCTATCTCTCAGAAATTCTGTACCTTCATACTCCAACATCTTTCTCCTCAATCTCTTCCTTAGCTGCTTCTCTACTTATTTTGTGAAATAAACCAGACTGTCCTATGCTCTATTCTCTCTGCACTAAGGATCATGCCAGTCCTGTGCAGTTTGACCAGATAGCGGAGAGAACTCATCTGGCACAAGACTGCTTTCACACTAAGGCAAAATAGCCATCTTGGAGCTCAAAAATCAGATTTATTGGCAAGCCCAGATATGCAGGGAGTTGACATTTGGGTCTTTATTAAAGCATCATCGACAAGGCTTGGCCAGTTTGTGCTGTGTTCTCTATGACTAATTGGGTTTTTTTCTGTTGTGCTGTATAGTGCTCACCTCATGGTAGCAGTGCTGTAGTTCAGGGTTGCATTGTTTTAAGTGTTTGCTTTCAGCTGCCTTAGTGCTACCATCAGATTCTCTTTGGGGTTGAGCTTTTTGCACTTAAGCAGACAATTTCTGTACTGAACCCATTAGGAGGAATGTGCTTCCTTTTGAGTGCTTTTATTTGGGAGGTGTCTTGTAAGGGAAAGAAGGAAAAAATGTGCACTTCTGGTTTTGTTTTGGGATGATTCTAGACCTGTTTTTCGTTATAAATAGATCTGGAACAGGGGAAATGCTAGCTGCTTTCTGTGCTGGAGCAGTGTAGGACTGTGCTGTGAAGCATAGTATCCCTTGAGGAGAGATCCCAGCCCCACCGTCCATTGATCCTTTGGGGACCGGTTGCACTGTAGCGCGCTCTGGTGCTCAGAAGGAAAACTGCATCTGATCCCAGTGCCCCTTTTCGATGCCGAAACACGAATTGTGTGCTGTTTTGTGTAAGAGCTCCTACAAAGCGCAGGAAATCACTGCTGTTGAGATGAGGCCAGTGTGGCATGCAGGGTCTCCTTTTCTTATCTCTAGGCATTCTACTCTAAAGCCAGTCTCTTCCACGTTCCTCTTAGAGCTATTTTTTTCTTTTGCAGATGTTGCTGTCTCTGTCCCTCGCGTCCCCGCTATGCACCCAGTGTCACCATTGAAGAGGATAATTGCTGTGGCTGCAATGCCATCGCTATCCGGCGCCACTTCTTGGATGAGAATATGACCTCGGTGGACATTGTTTACACATCTTGCCATGATGCAGTAAGGAGAATCTGCAACCCCCTTCATATTTGGGCTGTGCTTCTAAGAGATTTACTAATGGGATTTACGTGCTTCCAGAGGTAGTGGTGCAGAGAAGGAAACTTAAACCTTTTCCTGACCCTAGAGCTTCCCATCCTCTCTCTCCATCAAGAAATTCTGCCACTTGGACAGAAATATTTGCTACTGCCAAAAAATCTGATCATTCTGGAGGAGTGCTTACCCATAAGGCCTAACCTGTCATGCTGCTCTGCCTCCTTTTCCCTGAGCAGGAGAATAATTAAACAGCAATGTCTCACCTGATTGTTACAGTAGTGGATCTTTTCCAGGTTTATGAAACACCTTTCTATGTGGCTGTGGACCATGATAAGAAGAAGGTGGTCATTAGCATACGAGGAACTCTGTCTCCAAAAGTAAGTGTGCTGTGCAGCGGCCTCACGTACCCTTGGCCAGCCTTCAGGAGAGTTTGAGGCCTTCCTGGCTCGCACTTGGTGTTTAACTGACCTGAAACACGATGACTGCTTTTCTTCCAGGATGCCCTGACTGACCTAACTGGGGATGCAGAGCGCCTTCCAGTCGAGGGTCACCATGGAACATGGCTGGGACACAAGGTATGTGAAAGAAAACAGCAACAAACCCCAGACAAAAACCCACCTTTTTTTTTTCTGATGTTTTGACTTTTTAATTATAGGCCCCCAAAAAAGTGGCCTTAATTGCTTGAGGTGCTTTTCAGAACAATGTTACATAATTGCAGTGAAACGGCTTCGAGATGTTAAAATGGAATCCTTAGTGTAACGGTTAAAATTGCTATGTCTGTAATTAAAAACCCACATACAATTAGTAAAAAAACAAACTGAAAAAGGCATCTGTGGAGACATAGAACAAAATTATTGGAGCCATTCAAATTATTTTTCCTTCCAACTGACCTTTTCAGAATTTGCAGTCAAACCCTGAGAATGTGTTTAAAATTCTGTTGCAACGGGATGGGCATTGAACCTCATAAAAGGATACTGGCAAGACTTGCATCTGTGTAATTAGGCTGATGCTATGTGCCTGTGTTAGTGATCAGGACTGGGCTGGCTAAATCAATTTGCTCTAGAGCTGACCTGTGCCCCAGTCCAGCAAAGTAGTGGCACACATGCTGAGTTTTAAGATTATCAGGAATTTGGCAGCCTCTCAAGATGCGGTGCCAGACTTGGGAAAGAAAAATACAAACTGGAGGTTGTGCGTGTTGGAAGGAATGTAGCAATTGCTGCTGCTCAGAGGGACAGGATGTTGCTGATCATCTGGTCAGGGTCCCTTCAGGGCAGGATCTGGAACTTTTAATTCCTTGGGAGCCATGAGCAGGAGCTCCTGCTTTGTTCATGATGTCCTGCCTGAATGTCAAACCTCTTCTCTGGGCTTCAATGCTCTGCTTGAAGTAGAGTGTTAGTAGCTGGTAGGTAACTGCGTACTCAAATACTTGGCTGGGGCTGGGTCTGATAAAGAAGTGGTTATCCAAGAGTGCTGCTCGGATGCTCTGTGCTCTCCAAGTCTCCCGGAGTGGATCTTTGTGAAAATAGTGTCGGCTATTAGCTAATGGACATTTCCTTTCTTTCCCCCCCATATAAGAAAATTAATCAACCTGGTGATTACATAGGACATGTTATGGAAACATATATAGATAAAAATATCTATACAGAGAGATATATAGAGAGACACACTATATATAGATAAATGAGGTTATTTTGTCACATAACTGATATTTAGCTCTGAATCTTTACTGTTTAACATTTCTGAAGCATTACGTCTGCTGTCAGTAATAATGTCACTTGGCTTTGTACAAATTCATTTAGCCCAAAATGACTTTGCACAATTAGTGTGATCAACAGTTTGTACAGAGAAAGGAAGGTAAAAGGAAACCAAAGGGAAGCAAGGGGGTTTTGTTCTATTTTTAATGCACGGAAAAGCTATGAATAGATCCTTGGAGAAGTTTGCTTTTCTTTTGATCTTTATGTGAAAATATCTGTATGCCAGTGACTTATATGAAACATCATCAGATCATTCCCTTTGTTCTATACTGAGGTTTTATTTGGCCTTTTTTTTTTTTGATTGTTGCTAGTAGAGAAATATAGCTTTATCTTCAATTATCATTATTAATCTTCAGACAATAATGTACTGTTGATTCCTGAGGGAAACTAATGGAGATAATAGAATTTTTAAATGTCTGTCTCAATGCATTTTTAATGTCCAGTAGTCAACTTTAATACAAAAATAAATAAGTGTCTTGCTAACACATTTAATTTGGAGAAAAGTACTTGGCTATTCAGCAGCTTCCTGTAAGTTGTTTGATTTCTGTTACTTTTCTTGCTGGTTCTGTCCAGCAGGCTGGCTGTGGCCTGGTATCTCCACCTGCAGGTTTGCCTGTCCCTGTGCTGCACGTGGGGTTGATCAGACATCTGACAAATTAAAATGCTTCATGGTTACCTGAGCTGCCTTAAAGCCCCACCGGTACCACGGCTGAAAGTGTTTGATTGCTTGGGTTGCTGTGAATGCCACAGTTAAAATATATTAGCTATCTGAGCTATTTTGGGTCAAAAAACATAGCTGTAACTAAGATTTATGGGTTAGCATGCCAAAAAAAAAAAAAGGGGATTGTCAGAATTCAGAGGGGAAATTAACTGTGGGGGGAAAAAAAGAAATTAGCTTCACTACTTTTGAAATATACCCGACTGATTTTTTTTTTAACAAATTAATTTTAAAATATTCATTATTCAAGGACATGAATCCATACTTAATTCTCTTGAAGTTATATAGAACAAAACTACTAAAATGAAGATGTTATGGAGGTTTTTTCCTGGTGTTGAGCCAAGTGGGATGACAAGGAGTAGCTGCCCGCAGGAAGCCCTGAGAGCTTAGCTGTGAGAACACCTCTCACCAGTTTGATGGACCAGTCGGTAACAGCAATAACTTTCAAGCTCTTCTTTTTACCAGTAGAGCCCCTCTGTGGGTTTTCACACAACTGAAATATTGCAGAGCAGCTTTGTGCCTTCAAACTGCAAAGCAATACCAAATATTTTCCCTTCACTTTCCCTAGATCTTCAGTCTATTTTTGTATTTACATGTGAGGTTTGAAAATTAAGCACAGATTCCTTTGAAACTTATGAAAGTCTCCATTTTAATGGAGAGTCTAAATGTAACTTTGCAGTGATAGAAGTCTCATTCCATAATAAAACCACTGTCTATATTAGAATATACTTTAATTATCAAAAATATAGCTATAAGGCTGACTAACAGCCCATTAGTAATATCACCATGGATTTAGGTCACGCTTTTCAAAAATAGAATCCTAAATTCATGTTAGAAATTTATAGAAGTAGTCTGCTGTTCACCTCTCATTAGAGTTGGAAATGGAGACTCTTCTGAATGCAGTGGAAGCTGGCTAGCTGCTGAGAGATCTGAACATGGGCATGAAATACCTCGGCATCTGCTTTTTGATAATGATGGTGGCGGTACAGCTGTCCCATTTACAGGCTCAGCGTAATCACCTGCATTCTGCTCTTTCTCTTCAAGAGTCAGAGTGGTTTTGATAGCGTGTTTGATATTGAGGACTTTGAAAATTCCACATTTCTTTTCGCTTTTTGAGAGGGCCATTAATTCTTTTATGTCTCTGAGATTAAACAGTGTTCAATAATGTTCACTTTGTACTTAAACTGTTTTCAGGTAGGGGTGTAATGGAAAATAACAAAGGAGATGATCTTCCCTGGTTTTTGACCAGTGTGAATTATTTCACATCCGTAATCACCAAAATAGATTATTTTTGTTTACCCCTGTTCACCCTACATCACTGTTTTTCAGGCTTTGTGGTTCAGGCTTGCTTACTGCTGAATTAAACAGTAGTAATGGCATAACCAAAGATTTATGCAACAGACCAAATTCTAGGTGCTTATTTATAACATCAGCTGCATTTGTAATTATTAGAGGGAGAAACACTCTCCAGCTGCAGCCTCAGCAGATAGATGTTTAGAACCACACTATCAGCTTGTTTCCCATCTTCCAGCAGTTCTTAGCTTCTAGTGAATAAAAACATTTAATAATTTGTGATTAATGTCCTTTGACAGCTGAATCCCCTTAATAGTTGTTGCCTTCTCCAAGTCATCAATAATTCTTCCTATACAGATAAGTGCTGCTGCTTTTTCCCCTCCAGTAGTGTCTTGGTGTTTGTAATACAGATAAGTGCTGCTGCTTTTTCCCCTCCAGTAGTGTCTTGGTGTTTGTATTATTTTCCCTGTGAGCTTGTTAAGCTAGTTCATGCTTTCGTTCACAGATTTAAATGGACGAGTACAGTTTTGCTGTTAAGGCACTGACATGCAGAAAATCAGTTAGTTTCTCCACTCTACTGCAGGTCCCAGTGTCTGCTGAACTAAGAGATACACAGTCTTGTCTTTAAGAAGTAGGTTGTTTTGTGTTGGTTGGTGGTTTTTTTTTCCCTAGACTTTGCACTGTGAGCCCAGGAATAGGGCCTTTGAGTATTATCTTAATTTAAGAAATGTCATTACTTCCAAACAGTTTGTGGCTCTGGTAATCAGTGAGCCAAGACATCTACCTAATGAAGTCTATTCCTAAACGTGAAGT